ATTTTTTTGATTATTTGATGGAGATTGTATAAAAATGAGTCCTTCGAAATCTATACTGCTTTTTGTACGAATACTAGCGTAAATTTCATTAAATTAAATATCTATGGATTTGTTTGGTGATTTTAGTGTTATAATTTAGGTGCAGTTGTTTTTTTGCAGAAAATAGCTTGTTCTGCCTTTTTCACGATCACCGCAGATTCGGACTTAATCTTAGTGTTTTTCTTCACAATCCGTGTTAATCTAGGGTTTTGATTATTTGGATTTTTTTATTTTTTTTGGTTGACTAATTTTGCTGAAGACTGATCATATTTTTGTGTAAAAAGAAGATAATTAACTTAATAGCTAACATAAAAAAAATGCAGAACAAATGGATTAATTGAATGATTTTTTTCCTTTAATAAAAAGGATAATTGTAAACTCGTGGTGAAGCTCTTTAACTTTTAACACATCGTCTCTGAACAAAAATGAAATTGCTTTCTTTCTTTTTTCCCCTCCAAAAAAGTAACTTTCATTAGTTTTTCTTTGATGTTTCAGGCATCCAGTATTCTTGATTAGCAGTGGCTTTTTTTATCACTGTTTCTCTGATATTATTGGAGATCGTAGTCGGTAATGGCGGGATATGATGGAGATGTAAGTATTTTTCTGAAAACTTAGTATAAATTTGGGTTCAGCATTAATCTAAACCTGAAGAAAATAGTTGTAACTGAATCTGTCCAGTGAAGAGTCGTTATGTTTTGTTTTGGTTTTCTCCTAACAAATTTTCCTTCTGTCTCTAACTTTCTTATCTAGGAATATGAAGATTATGATGGTTATGATATGGAAGGGGAACAGCAATATGAAGAGGGATATGAAGAACAGGAAGAAGAAGAAGAAGAAGAAGAAGAAGCAGAAGAGGAAGATCATAAGCCTACTGAGGAAGAAATGGAATACCTTGAGTTAAGGCAGCGGCTAAAAGAATCCATCAGACAGAAGAGGAAGACGGAAAGTGGTTCTCTCTTAAATGCTAGAGAGAAGGAGAAGAAGCTTCCATATGATAAGTACGTGACACACCTAACTTTCTTGATGTGATGGTCTACTATCCTGTAGTGCATTAACAATTGGAAGGTTTTTCTAATGCAAATTTTGTCTTGATTGTTTGCTAACCTAATAATTGACTAATTGGTATTGAAAGGTTTTGATAAATATGGTGATTTTGTTTTTGACTTACGGAAGCATTAAATGTGTATATTTTTTTCTTGAAAATACATCATCTAGGTCTTCCCTACATCAATGAAAAATGTAGTCATATGTCACGATTTTTAATAAGCCTGGTCATTAGCTTTTAGGGCCTACCAAATTACGCACATTATCATTCTAAATGTTCTTGTATCATGTTTTCCTTTTCAAATATTCAGTCCAAAACATGAATATGGCTTTCTTATATGCTTTATGAATGCTAATTTTCAGTTTAAATTTTCTTATTCTTAAGGATTTCTTTGGGGACATTTGAAGCTACAGTTTTTAATTATTTTTCTAAATGTTAATTTCCTGCAGTTATGGATCCTTCTTTGGTCCTTCTCAGCCAGTGATTGCCCAAAGAGTAATCCAAGAAAGCAAATCATTCTTAGAAAACGAGCAATTGGTATCTAAAATGTTGGAATGCAAAAATAGTGTATGCATCATTGACTTCTGTATTTTTGGTTACTTCATATGACTCCATGCTTGTTTTTTTTATCTTCTAGAATGTTGTGACTTCTGATCTGATGGGCTTACTTGTTTAAGAAGCTGGGTGAATAATGAATTATAAGTTTAGATTGCCTGATTGCAGGAGGTTTGTTTTGCATAACTTGTAACCATCAGTTATTTCTATCAGCTAAAAGATGCCTTTTGAAAAGACTTTATTTTGCTATTATTTTTTCCCAAAAGGCTTTATTTTCTTAGGGGTGGGGGTTGGTGGGAGCTTGGGTCCTGTGTGGAACAGGGGATGGGCTGATGGAAGTTCAGTTAGCTTGGAAAACTTAATATTTTGAATTCTAAATAAATGAAAGAGAACCGAAAGCAATGTTATTGAGGGTGAATTATGCTTAATTTATCCTGAAACAGTGACCTAGTCCTTTTATATTGCTTTTCATTATTTATGTCTTTTCATTCTGTAGAAGAAGTGAAGTTGCAATATATTATTTGTTTGACAACCTTGTAATTAATTGCAGAAAAAATTTTACCCTACTTCAAATAGTTCAGGATCAAAGCTTGGAGTAAATGACTGGCCTCCTAAAATAAGTGAGGTATCTAGAGCACTATCTTCTGTATCTTTTTCATGTCATTTGTGATAGTTAATGCCATTAGGAATTTTGACTTACGCAGCTCAAAAAGAAAGTTGAGAAACTTAAGATGGCGAGAGATTACTCTTTTCTGTCTGATGATGTCAAACTTCCAGTTCCTGCAAAAGAGCCTCCACCACGAATTATCTCCGTTCCAAATTCTGGTGTGTTGCCACTTTAACACATTAAATCCTTTTTTGACCGTAGGTCTTAAGTCATATAATTTTCATTGAGAGAACTTATACAGGTTTTTTGCTGATGTTCAAGAGGCCCGACCAGCTCACATGGCATTAAAGAGCAAACAACCATTGGGAAATGGTAGCAGAAATGTCCAAGGTGTCCGTGAAGAAAGAAAATCAGTTTCTTTGAATGGTCACTCACATCCTAAATCTGGGTCCTACAAGCCAACTTCTGCTTTCAAACCAAATTTGACATCAATTGATTCTAAGAAGCAGCTCAGTGTCAATAATGGAATTGGACCTGGCCGGCCTACAGGAGCAAAAGCTTTGCCTTCAAAAATGTCTGTTGCAGCCATGGAAAAGAAGATACCTGCTCCAGGTGTGAAGAATCTCCCACCAAATATGCAGAAAGCACTGTCTTCGAAGATGCAATTATCTAATTCAAAACAAGCTTGGGAACAGAAAAAGGGATCACAAGAACTGGCTAACAGTGGAATTTTGTCAAAGAAGCCAGTGCCACCTTCAATTTCAAAACAGGCAGTGCCATCATTGATGTTGAAAAGGCCAGCGCCATCATCAACGTTGAAACGGCCAGCTCCATCATCAATGTCTATACAGTTGTCCATGTCATCCTCAAAATTGAGACCTCAGGTTTCAAATCTTTCCTGCACAGTTATTTCAGAAAGTACTCTGTTCTCAAGGAGTGTTCTCATCTATTTTTCCTGAAATGTTCCAGATGAGCAAGCCACTAAAGCAAGTCTCATCTCATGCTTCATCACAATTTCAAAAACTGAAGAAAAAGCCTTTGTCTGAGGATGAGAAGGCCTTAAGTATGATCAGAAGAATGTTCAAGTAAAGCTTCTCTTAATAATGCACTTTCCTCTGTTTTCTCCACTTGTTTGGTTTTGAAGATAGCTCGTGTTTAAAAATTGTAATGAATTGCTGTACTATAAAATACAGAAGTGATTTATCTCTGAATGGGTTGGGGTTTTCTGTTTTCAATTTTGGTTTTGGATAATCCAATTTCAACCTGACTTTGAACTGGATGAGGATTGGCTTTAGGCTTTTGAATCAGGAAAGGAATGGAATTATTTTATTAGGTTCTTCTATTTTTATTTGGAAAAGAATGTACTGATTGCCTTTTTATTTTTCTTTTTCCTTTACAGCACCCCAAGATTTGTTGGTCGTGATGATGATGATTATGATGATGATGATGGTGATATCATGGAGGCAAGCTTTGATGAGATTATGAGAGAGGAGAAAAGAAGGTTAGTATATTGTCCCTCTCCCCTTCCCCTCTTTTGCTCCTTCCAGTCTTTTACTTTCCCAAAAATATAAAGAAGAGAACTGCTTCTGTGTCAATGAAGCAACATTTCCTACATTAAAGTGGAAAACACATGCCAACCTGTGTACTTTTCATAGTTTTTTTGGAGAATGGGTTTGGAAAAAACTGAAGAGTTGTTTCTCTACATATCGTCTTTATTTTATTTCCTTTTTTCCTACTGAGCTGGGTGATTTCCGTGATAAGTATTAAGTAGTAAATCAACTTTTTTTTTTTCTTTTTCTTTTTTTTTATAATTTTATTGCTCTGGGGTTGGGTTGGGTGGAAAGGATCAATGTTCAAGATTCTCCAGTTTCGCCACTTATCAATCTGTGCTTGGGAGGGAATTATTCTCTTGTGTTCTTTTAGTTGATTTTGTTTCATATTTTACTTGTGTTATGCGTTTTAATTTTAGCTCGAAGTAGTTCTTTTGTGTTGCCATAAAGTAAGATATAGGAGAGTTTAGGATTTGTGAGGTAGTGATATGTTCCTTTTGTCTGTATTTTTCTTCTCGTTGCACAGTGCAAAAATTGCAAGAAAGGAAGACGAAGAACAACAACGATTAATAGAGGAAGAAGAAAGACGAGAGCGGATGAGGAAGTCGGCAAAGAAGCAAAAGCTAAGCCACTAGAGGTGTCTGTTCCTGAACTAACGATAGTTTAGACATTTAATTTGCGTCAGGTTAGATCCACATTAGGCGGCAGTGTTGATGTTGCCTTCCGCATAATTATTTAGCTTCACTTCTTCTATTGGTAGAGCTTTTGTTTTATTTTTGTTGGTAATATTAGATTTGAAGGCAACGAGAGAGAATCGTCACGGATGGAAGCCCGGATTCTCGTTGATTAATGTTTTCAGTGTTTGATTTTCTTTGAAATTGAACAGATGGCTGAAAAAATGGAATATGTGACAAGAGTAGCAGAAATGGTGGATTCTGTTGTTTAATGAGAAATAAAATGAATGATAATGATGGAATTGGAGGGGAAGGTGGAATTCCTGGAGGCAGATCTTCACTTACATTTTAGTGTGTTCCACTTGAGTTTTACCTTTCATAAATTTATTTACTTCATTTTATGTAAAGCAGAATTTGTGTTTTTGGCAAAAGAAAGCACGCGTAGCAGTTTATGGAAAGGGAAGGGCATTTCTAAAACAATTAATTATTGGCAGGAGATTGGGAGCTGAAGCCTGAAGTTCCGCCTTTCTACATTTGTTTTTCGGTGCTTCTCTTTTTTCTGTTTTGCTGAATGTTTTTCAGTACTTTCTTCAATGGCATACAGAAATCATTCCGTCTATCCTGTTGGCAGGACAAAGTTCAATAAAATGGAGCTCAGCTTAACCTTTCCTTTGCTCTTAAAAAAAGAAAAAAGAAAAAAAAAGGATTTGTGTAATCTATGCTCTAAGATGTAGGTTAAAAGTGTATTAATTGTAATTTTTTATTAATTTATATTAAAGTATAAAAATTAATTGGCCAAATTCTTTAATTTTACGTTAAATATTATTTTTTTTACAGTTAATGCTTTAAAATTTTTATTTTTAATCAATATTTTTTAAAATATAAAATTTGTAAAAAATTTAGAAGTTAAGAATCAGATCTTTTATTTACATTTTAACTTGTGTGTTATTCTTATTAGATAATTAATAAAATTAAAATTA